AGAGAGAGATCCGTACATATATACTATTATATATATATATATATATATATGAAACTTGTGATGGTGTTATATATGTGAAGGTTTGTATTAGTGTTGATGTCTCCTATTTTGAATTTTTCAAAGTACTTTTACGGTTGTATTTATATAAAAATTATATTAAGAGAATGTCGAGACTCAAAATTGAGATTATGGATTTAAAAAAAAGGGTTCAGTTTGTCTCAAGTTGAGATCAAAACAGGACCCGTTCAGTTCGGCCCATGAAGCTCATTTTTGGGGCCTTTTTGATAATTTGAACCGTTAAATGTGTAGAACTCGTCGAGTACTATATGTCTGTAAAAATCACGTTAATTGGATATTCAATAGTTATGTGATTAAATCAGTTTTGTATAAAAAAAATGGACGGTGAAAAAATTAACGGTTGATAAAAAATGTTTTGTTCACATAGCTATCGATATCCGATCAACGTAATTTTTACAGACATATAGTACTCAACGAGTTCTACACATTGAACGTTTCAAATTATCAAAATGGAATCCATAGTGGGCCCTCACAGGCCCAACAGCACGGTCCAGTTCGAACTTGGACTGGACCAAAGCTACTTCCTTAAAAAAATAACAATGTTACAAATCTTTTAAAAAATACAATTTTTACAACTCTCACTCACTTGTGTTGGTCCAAGAAAAAAAAAAAGTAAATAAATAAAAACATATAATTGATCTACATCATTTTTGGAATAATGGATAAGGTTACAAATGAACAGGACCATTCATGCAGGCAAGCTCAGTTCGGTAAGAGCCTGTTCAAACTTGGTTCGTTAATTTTTTTTTGCGTTCGAGCTCAAGCTCAAAAACGTTAAATTTTTAATAACAAGCCCAAATATTATAAAACTCGGTTCATTAGCTGTCTCGTTTATATTTATTATTTATATATTAAATAATGTAAAAAATGTATAAAATAAGATAAATATGTTATTTATATATTTAAAAAATATAAATATAAATAATAGTTAACTATAGATAGTACTTTATATAATAGTTGTAATAAATATCATTATTTTGATAAAATATTAACTTTTTTTAGAATGTCATTTATATATATATATATATATTGTATATATAATTATATAATTAAAGTTTTAATTATAAATTTAATCTTATACATAAGTATGAATTTATAAATTTTTTAACTTATTAAGGTTCGTGAATATGCTCATGCTCGAACTCGAGTCAAGTCTAAACCAATTAGACTCAAGTTCAATTTGTTAAATTTTTATTAAATTCGAGTTCAAATTTATTAAAATCTTAATAAATAAATTTAAACATACAAAAACTCAACTTGAGTCCGCCCATTTGCAGCTCTAATAATGGAGTTCCAAACTTTGAAAGTCCCAACTATTTTTGTTGTTATTTTGAATTGCACACTCATTAGTATGCGGATCCTAATCTATATCTATCTATACTGATAAATGATGAATCAAGCCTTTATTTTTATTTTTTCTTCATGTGGCACTCATAATTCTAAATAAAACAAAAAAACTTAAATAAATAAAAGAAGTGAGAGTCGAATTTTTAAAAATATAAGTGACATAATGTTAAGTATCATGAATTTTTTTTATAAAAATAATTAAGAAAGATTTATGATTCTTAAATTACACTTAAAATAAAGCACAACACACTAATCAAGTAATCTAAGAATCACAAATCTTTTATAATCATTTTTATAAAAAAAATTTCATAATCCTAACTTTTCTCAATATATAATAAATATTTCATTTATTTACCCACACCTCTACTCTATAGATATGTATTATATCTATACGTATAGTATATGGAGTGGATTGAAGAGAAGAGAAGGGAGATACGTTCCTGCTTTCTAGCCCTGGATCGAGCAGCTGACTCTCTGTTCTTAATCATTCGCTTATGTCTCCGATCGCCGGAACTGCTCTCCGATTCCTGGAACCTTTTCTTCCCCAACGCCTGCAAGCTCGACGACGATGATGCCAATGCATCAAACAGTACATTCAGTGATGCTTCGCTCGAAACGGGTCGGCTTTCTAATCCACCATAGTTCGCTCTCATAGGGTCCGACTCGTTACTGCTCAGCAAGTTAAGTTGATCAGGAAGAGAATTCAAGTTCAGCGAGGTGGTTGACGGCGGCGACGCCGGAGACCCGTCCCCGCCGGAGATTCTTGCTGGCGGGTTTTTGTTGACGGGTCGACCCAGAAAGTCTTGGAAGGTGAGGGAACGAAAGTGGGTGTCCCGGGTCGGGTCGTCTCGGAGGGTGGGTGGGTCGTGGAGGGAGGCGAGGGTAATGTCGTTCCAGACCTCATCCATGGTGGTGGAAAAAAGACGAAGACGAAGACGATGACGAATGGAGAGTGTGTTGGTGGGTTTGGTACAGTTTAAGGTGTTTTCATCGGAAAATGCTATCACCCCAAATAATTTTGGGAGTATTATTTAATAGTGAGATTGGAAAAAAAAAAAAAAATTACTATATAAATTTTCAGCAATAATTGAGAGTCACAATTTTTGTGGTTCAAATGGTTCGAAATTGTTAAAATGACGTCGTTTTGAATACAAAATAACTTTAAAATTGTCAAAACGACGTCGTTTTGACAATTTTGAACCATTTGAGCCACAAAAATTATGACCCTCAAACATTTTCCATAAATTTTGGATGTGCAAGTGATTTTGTAACCTAGTACAAGTAAAAATTTGTGAGAATGTAAGTGTCATCTGCATTTTTTTTAAAATTTTCAATTGATTAGTAATTCTTTTAATAATATATCAATTTTTTTATCAAAAATTTCATATAAAGCTATAAATGAATCGAGTTGTTTATAAATAAGTTCGGTTCAGTTGGTTGAAGACTACAAATTAATTGAGCTATATAATAATTTTTTAAAATATAATCTCAATAAATATATACAATAATTTTAATTAAATTATTTATGTATATATACATAATACAATATTTTAATCATATTCTTCCTATCTAAAAAAAATTAAAAACCATTTTCTTCTTTTCTTTAAAAAAAATCACTTTTCAATTTTTTTAATGGATAAAAATTGAGAGATTTAATTTTAAAATTTTAAAGAGAGCTCTAATAATAAAATGATAAGGAATAGAACCCACATGTGATTTAATTTCTATTGTCACATCACTAAAGCATCAACATCAAACTAACTAAAATTATTTTTTAACTAAATTGGTGATACTGTTAATCAAAAATGGACTGCATTAGTTTTGTTACTGTTCATCGCTAATATACGAATGTTACAGTATCCCGCTACAACAACCGAGGTACTGTTCATCGCTACAATACGGAGATTAATGTTACCGGATATCTGCCTAAAAGTCTGGCCGGTCAATTGGTCAACGGCCATTTTTTTTTTTTTTTTACATTTTTTAAGAATTATTTAGTTGGTAACTCATCAATTTAATAAAAAAAAATAATAAAAAAAATAAATATAATAAGAAAATTATATTTTAATAAAATTAAGTTAGAATAGAGAATTTGATACAATTATTAATACTAAAGAGTTGACTACCTAAAATGGTGAAATAGTTTTTTTTAGATATAATTTAACTAAAAACTTGAAAAAGCTGGAAAGCTGCCGTTAGGAATAAAAACGGCGTCGTTTAGATGATATGGGTTAGTTGTTCAAGCGACGCCGTTCAACTTACTTCTTCAAATTCTTATGCTAACGTGGCTTTCATCTCAACCATTTAGGGTTATTTTGGGAGATTGATTAAAAGTTAGGCTAAGTTTGACATGATTGAAAAAAGACAAAAAGTCAAAAAGTCACTATCCTATTTAAGTCACATCATCTTATTTAAGTCACATCACCTCTCTAATACATCACTTCAAACCCAACCCAAACCCAATCCATATTTCATAAAAAGTCAAAAAGTACATTTATTTAGTCTTCTTAAACTAGGCTTTAGTTTTTTTACTTTTTTTTTTTTCAATTTTTTTTTAAAAATGTGTAGAAAAAAAAGAAGAAGTAATGTGAGTAAAAATAAATTAAAAGTTTTACCATCTTTTCAAATTGGCACTTAATATGTCTCCAGGTGTCATTCTATCAGCAAACTTCTACATGATCTTAACAGAAAAAATTATTGATTGGTGCAGGGTATTATATAGTCATATTCCTCGTCGATCACAAATATTATATTCATCATATTTTTCTTCATCATATTTTTTAATTATTTAATATAAATTCGTAAATTTTATTTCTTCACAATAATAGGGGTGTTTAGTGAAAACTATTTCAAATTAAAAATTAATAATAAAAAAATAAAAGTTAAAAGTATTCCTCACTTGGCTTTTGAAAAATTAATTTTTTTTAACTTATTCAAACTATTTCTGTTTAATACATTATAAATAAAAAGTACATCAAATAATCTAACACAAATTCTTATATTAAAATAAATTACAAATTGTTTCCATAATCTACACTAAACACCATTAAGGTCTCGTTTAGCAACAACAATTTTTAGTTAAAAGTCAAAAAATTATTAAAAAAATCAAAAAGTTAACAATTTATACAAAAAATTCAAAAATTTTATTTTCACTCCACTTTTTGTATATTTTTCTAATAAAAAACTAAAAAATTATTTTAAATATACTAATTTTTTTATATCATAATTTAATCAAAAAATTAAAAACATTAATTTCCAACGGGCTAAGACCAACCAATAACTCGTAGGGGTTTTGTACTTTGTTATTATGGCACCGTGGACAAAAGAAAGGATTGAGGAAAAATTATGGGACTCAGCTTTTTTTCAGTCTGTAATTGGATTAGTGGATATTATTGGAACTGTGATAGTTTACTATGAGTCTTGTTTTGATAATTTAAATTGTTTAATGTGTAAAACTCGTTGAATATTAAATGTTTATAAAAAATTATGTTGATCGGATATTAATAGCTATGTGATTAAATTAGTTTTATATAAAAAAATAGATAGTAAAAAAATAAATAGTTGATAGAAATTTAATCCGATAAGATAACTATTGATATCTGATCAACGTGATTTTTTTACAAATATAAATTACTCGATAAATTCTACACATTAAATAATTCAAATTATCAAAATGAAGACCTGTAATAAACTCTCACATACCTGATAATACCCTCTAATACGGACAGGAGGAAAGTCCAACTCAAAAATTATTGAAGCATAACATGACTTTGCTTCTCACCATTATAAAACGTAAAATTATAAATATTATTTTTTTTTTATCAATCATAACATACTTACTTGGACACCATCTGACAGTGCTTAAACACAACCAATAACTTCTCGAGAGAGATGGTGCGGTGTGAATTGTCACCTTTGTGAATGTACTTGGTAAAGTTTAGTAGCAACTCTGACCCCTACCTACAAATAGGCCAAGAACTTTCCCATACCACTGTATCCCTCCACCTAGGTTGCAATGGGTAATGCTATGAGGACATATTTCATTTATTTAGTTCTCCTTTGATAAATATTTTGAGACTAAAAAAGTATATAAAAAAATAAAATAAATTATATAAATAAATAAAATAAAATATTACATTCAAATTATAATCTTTTTTTTTTGTTAAGCTATGTTTGGTTTTGACTTTTTGATTAAAAAACATAAAAAATAAAATTGGTTATATAAATTAATAAAATGTCATATTTAAATCATAATTATTATATTTTTTTTTACAAAAATCAAAAAAATCGAAAATAAAAACCAAACGAAACTAAAAAAGTCAGGTTAAAATAGCCAAAATGTCAAACTATTTTAACTCTTCATCATAATTATTATATTTTTTTTTACAAAAGTTAAAAAACTCAAAAATAAAACATGAAACTAAAAAAGTCCAACTAAAAAAATTCTAACACCAAAAAATTGACTAATACAACCAATTTCAAACAAAGCTTTATTTATTTGGTTTAGCTAGAAGGAATGAGTTTCCCTTTTGTCTTCATTCTAAGGCATTGTACGAATTCTGTTTTAATGATTTCATCGTTTATTTTTTAAGATATTTTTTAGTATATTATTTATAAAAAAAATTAAAACGATTTAATAATTATAATATTTTTATTTTATTTTATTTATTTTTAAAAAAAATAAATGATAACTACATTCAGTAACTAAGGGCTCGTTTGGTTTGATTTTCTGAAAAAAATTTGAGAAATTTTTTCTACAAATAATTTTTCAAAAATAATCAAACCAAACAAATTTTCCCAAAAAAATTTTCCAAAACTTGTAAACCAAACAAGTTTTCCAAACAAATCTCTCTCACACACACATCAAATCAATCACTTTTTCCAAAACTCTATCTCAAAATAGTTTTCCAAAACATCTTTTAAAAAAAACCAAACCAAACATGTTTTCGTACTTTTTATCTCTAAAACACATCTCTCAAACACAAACCAAACATACCCTAATTCTTGCTAGTCACTTTCTGTATTTATTTTCAAAATAAAATTTTAAAACTTATGGGTACCATAAATTGTCTTACGTATATAAGCAATTCCCAAGTTGGAATGCCACTCACCAAACACCATTTACCAATTGGCCCCAGGCCGCGGGGGACTAAAGTGTTTAAAGAAACAAAAATATTTAAGACCCCTTTTCTCCTCATCTCCATTGATTTTCTCTCTTTTTTAATTGGTTTTTATTTTTTTACTTTTTATTTTTTATCTTTTTCTTTAATCATCATCCGTTACGTGTGTAAAAATTATAAAGTGGTGATTGGAGGAGATCTCTATCAATGCATTTAAAGAAAATGCCAAAGTTAATAGGGAAAAGGGGGGTGGGGGCTAGGCTACGAGGGTTTGAGGAGAGAGAATAATCAAAACAAAACATGGTACTTGGCTATGTACAGAGACCCATGATTGATGGAGACTTTTCACACCAATTTACATGAATTGCCAAATAAAGTAGAAACTACAGTGTTTTGGTCGAAGTGAGTTAAAAGTCGTTTTTTAATTTTTAACTTATTTTCTTTTATAAAAAAATTTTAAAAAAATTAAAAAATAATTTTTAATCAACTTCTTAAAACATCCTTTTATTTTATCTGCCTGATTTATCAAGTACAGCATACATGCTCTCTGAGCTTTTGCAGGAATTTATTACAGATCTATTTTAATAATTTAAATTATTTATATTATAATTTAAAATATATACATATCATCAACACAAAAATTGAAGTTAATAGAAAAAAGTCAAAAATTAAAAAAGTCACTATCCTATTTAAGTCATATCATCTTATTTAAGTCACATTATCTCTCTATTACATCACTTCAAACCCAACCCATATTTCATAAAAAGTTAAAAAATATACTTATTTAATTTATTCCAAACAACCCAGGTTTCAATTGTTTTAAAATAAATTATTTAAATTAATTAATTAATTATTTTTTTTATAAAACAATTGTGGTCTTGTTAT